TTGTACTATTAATGATAAAACTGAAGGGATTATTTCTTACATTATCTTAAAAAAAAAAAGTGCAAATGAGAGGTGGTGAAGTGATGTAGCAGTCCAGGACTCTGTTTTTGTAAGTATTTGTTTTTTGTTGCTTGTCAATAGCTTGTAGTTCTTGTATTTAGTTTTGTATCCAGTTTAAAAATCAATAAAGACATTTGTTTATAAAGCTATGCTTTGATTACTACTTTAGGAAGAGAGGAGAAACATGCTATTACAGTTTCTTTGTAATTCTTGCAGTTGTAAGTAGCTCTCTGGGATAAACAAATTAAAAAGAATAAATAAGAGGTTACAATTATTGTAAAACAAATAATTGTAAAATGATAAACCAAAAATTCTTTTATGGTATATACTAATCACTTGTGTTACATTTGCAGATATTAACAAGAAAATAACTTATATTCATGTGTTAATATGACCAATCAATTCAAAATGAATAGAATTCACCCATAATAAACAATAAAACAATTTACTGAATTACTTAGTTTTGTCCTGTTTATATTATATGTTTTCTCTAGTCTTCTATTTTCTGTTGCTTCCTGGCACAGATATAAAATGAGAAATTGGAATGCTTTCCAACAGTTTAAACAGCTAATAAAATCACATTATAGATCTTTGTACTGAAGTTGAACAAATGTTCTTTAAATGGTAGGTACAAATGTGAAAATCACAAAGTAAGTTCTTTTGAAAAAATACATTTAATAACTGTAAAAAGGCAGCTTTTCTTGCTCATCTTTTTTGTATTAGTGATGGTTTTTATTTACATTTGGATTTATATGGACTATATACTCACCAGTTATTTTATGTGGGTGAATAATTTCTGAAGATTGATGTAAATCAGAATGCAGAGTCTTATAAGATGCAGAACCCCATTACTATAGATCTGACATACTCACAGTATTGATCAGGAATAAATTAACTTAATTGTCATCTTGCTTCTGAAAGTGTCATGAACAACACAGATTGTCCTTGTGAAATGTTCATAGGTACTGTTCCATATCACAGGTAAATGTAGGTCTTCTAGTTCTTCATTCTTCAGGTGTCAGGTATTATCACATGCTTGGAAAAGGGCAAATGGTCAATAAGTCATGCAGGTTTGTGCGTTCGTTCACTTGTGGATTGCAAGGGCACTAGAAATGTAATTCAGTCTTGAAAGTTTATTGTTTAGAACTACATTGTAAAAATCTATTGATTATCCATGTACAGCATGATTTATTCTTTCAGCTAATGTTTCTGCTTTTAGCAATAGAGTACTTCAGCTTTGAATTGTCACAGACGTTTTATATTATGTATTTTATGGCTTTCATCTATGAAAGAATAATAATGTTCATGTCATTCTAAAGAGGTTCCTATTACATTATCCTTTTAATTAACGTTACCTACTGATATGAATTTTATCTGAAGTATTGGTAAGTTTTCTGTAAAAGACTGAGACTCTAAACTTTTGAAAAATAGCCACCTTCTCAGAAGACTTCAGTATATCTTATGGTTTGTTTTATTTAAACAGTCTGAAATAGGAATCAGCTTGATTTCCCCCATCCCCATCATTAGTGTGTCTGTTATGCACTTTAAATTTAAAGATCATAGTTCAGTGAGTGTAGGTAACATATATTAGTGTAGTTGAATGCATTTTTAGAGAGAGAGATGGGTATTATTCACATATAAAACTGAAGAGAAAAGGCAGCAGATGAAATTTCCTTCTGTCTCAAGTAGGTATTTGTCTAGTTTTTATGGGAGGGTTAAGGAAAAAGGTAGAATTAACACATCTTTCCTTAGTCTTCTGGAGAATGATCAGAGAGAGGAAGCTGACCAGAAATAGTAGACCTGTGCAATAATCAGACCTTAAATTAAGGGAAACTTGACGCATATGGAATGTATTAATACGTCTTCTCTGTAATCTTTTTTTTTATTAAGGACTTGATCCAAGCCAACTGAAATTTACAAAAATCTTTCTATTGACTTTAATGGACTTTGGACCAGGCTCCAAACCCCTTTATTCCTATACACAAATAATTAATTCTCAGGTGTGCTACAGACAATTTTGGGCTTCAGGTCCAATTTAGGCTGATTACTCAATTATTTATTGGGTTTTTATGCTGGTGAGTCACTGACTAAATTCAAAATACTGACAATAACTGTCAGACATAATTTGGCAAGATCTGATTCTTATAGTTTTTAATGTGCGTGGTTTTACAACTATTGATTTGATCTGTATATTTCCCTTCCCTTTATTTTTAGGGAGAGACAGTTTAAAAATAAATATGGTAAAAGAAAAATATGAATAAGGATTTGCCAGCGAAATTGACATATATGGTGCAAATCAAGTTCCTTTCTAAGACCTTTATTTTGTGGCTACGCGAAATATGTAGTAACAAGATTCTAGCTTTCTTATTGAATAAAAACCCAATAATTTCAGATGTAAACATATAGTTTGTCACTCTATAAATTGGCACCAGAGATTGGCAATGAGATTGCTCCCTCATTCCAGTATAGAGAAGCATGCTTTCTTCAATTCCCAAGGTTATTTGTTAGGCAGAGACATGGATGTGGTATTGCAATTAGAGGAATATAGACTGTATTTTGAAAAAGCAAATAAGAAAAAAGTCCAGTATCAAGTGTTTTAATTTCAATAATGGTTTCTTCTATGGTACTAATGGATTTTTTCCCTCATTGTTAAAGCAATTAAAACATAGTCAACACTTGTTCACCTGGCCCCAAGGCAGACCACTGTCTTCTGTAACATATCACTTTCCTAGTGTAGAGAGCTCTGGTATGGAGGGGGCAGAGTTATGATTGGTTGGGATACATAATGTTAGGTACAGGGAAAGATAGACCCTGGGTAGTTGACATCTTGAAACCTCCCATAGGGACAGTTATTCGGTGTGATGACTTGGAGTCGTCAGTTTCAGAAATTATGTACTGTGCCATTAGTGATGCCTGTATAATAACTTTATTTATATACCACCCTTTTCCCAAAATGCTGAGGGTGCTGTACTGCAGAATAATTACAAATGCAATATAATGAAACATTCTAAACTGTCACCCTCTTAAGTTATAAATAGTTTTAAAAAATGAGTGGATCAAATTTTAGAAATGTGAAGACAGTGATTGAACAGGAATGTGATAAATAAATAGTCAAGAGTGGCTATTCTAAACACCTGTGGGGAGAAAGAAAACTTTAAGATGTTTTTTTAAAGTGGGATAAAAATGAGGTGGATTTTGGGGGAAGGAAATTACATGTTATAGGTCCCACTGCAGTAAAAACCTTGATTGCCTGCCAATGTCAGATATAGTGGCAAAATTCTAAGCACTGGGTAGTGTGTGAATACAGAAATCCGTCATTAAAAGGCTTAAGTAGAAGACCCCAGAATTTGGAAAGCCAACTGTAAAGGGCTTTTAAAAGCAAGCATATCAGTTTAAAGTTAATCTGCCAGTTTCTAGGCAGTCAGTGTAAATCTTGCAAAGCAGCTCAAGACAGTGAGCAATTATGCCACGGTAGTCTGAACAAGTTGCAAAAAATAGCTCATAAAGAGAGAATTCACTAACTGAGTTTTGTGGTATGAGGGCATTTTTTGCTGTTCCAAATTTATCACAAGCTACATTCACTGACCAACAAAAAAGAAAAAAAAAAACAAACCTTCCCATTAAGAAGGAGTTAAGATTGTCCAGTGGTATCTTGTGTCCTTCCAAACATCAAGTTCAGCAAAACTTGAAACTCTGAAAATCAGGAAAGAGAGTTAAGGTACATGCCTGTGCAACTTTAACTCTGTGTTAACAAAGTAGAAATCAGTGATGTAGAGTTAGGGTATTTAGTTTAATTTGCTTATTTACAAAATGTATACGACTTCTGTTCCATTGAACGGAGGTGGTTACAAACTGTACACACACTGTTCTCTTGCAGAAATCTTAAGGCATCACTCCCCTATCACCAGGAAGCAATTCTTAGCATCTAACTGCTTAAACACACTGCTCTCTCTTCCAGTCACAGCCCATGGGCTTTTCACTTGGGAAACTCCTAGTCCAAGGCTCCTCACCTAGGTTCAAGTGTTTTGAAAGGTGGTGTGCACATTAACCCTCCTTTTGTGAACCCACTATACCTCAGAAAGGGTTTGACTTCCCATTCACTGGGAAATACTTTAACCTACATGATCTTCTTACCTACTTTCAGAATTAGGTACTGCATGGGTATTTTAACTCATTTTATCGTAGGTACTTATATATCAGTAAGGCATAACATGCACAACATTAGCATTTGTTGCCATAGCAATCATCTTTTTGCTAGCATTGAGCCAGATTCTGCAAAGTTCTGAGTGCTCTCAATTCTCATTGACCGTTGCTATTGTTGGATTTATCAACACAGTTTCAAAGTATGCTTCCGACGTATGTGATGCACCTGCTCTCTTTCAAAAAGAAGCCACATCTGTTTGCTCTGTAAAAGTTACATATTAATGAATAAAACAGAAGAGCTGTTTCAAGTGTTCATTGCCATCTTTAACACTCCATTCTAAATGTTAGAGACTTTATTTCATGATTTGAAGTGGAATGAGTGATAATATTTCACTTACATTACAAATTGTGAAAAGGTCTATTGAATTAATGGAGTGGATGATCTAATGTATCAAGACAGTTACTGTTGGTGTCTGATTTATTCTTCAAATTAGTTACCATTCGTTTGCCCTTTGCATTTGTTTGTAAAATACATTATATCAGAAAAGTTGGTTATTGTATATTTTAGTAGGATCCACAATGAGCTAGGTACTGTCAACACACTAAAAAAAGAAGGTTTATACGTGTTTAGAATGTATCTGCTTAAACTCTAGTCATTAATTGTTGCAATACAAAGATATCTGTGATATAAGGGAAACACAAATTAAAGTAATATAATACTTGTTAGATTCTTAAACTTTTGCTGAAATGTGTAATCCTTTTTTACTCTAAAATATTCACCTCTTTTTTTATTACAGAAACCTTTGAAATGCTTATCACACAGGCTGAGAATTACACAAGCATGCTTTTCTGCAACACATACAGAAACATGGCTGTTGAGGCTGCTACAGCTGTTCAAGAGTTTTTTACGGATGTGGGACTCTTTGTATTTGGCATAGATATTAGTACAGAAGAACTGGTGAACAGATTTTTTGACACCCTGTTCCCACTAGTCTATAATCATCTGATTAATCCTGGTCTGACTGACATTTCACTGGAATATTCAGAATGCATTCGAATGTCACAACGAGATATCAGTCCTTTTGGTAATGTTCCAAAAATAGCCATGGGACAAATGGGGAGATCATTGTTATCCAGTCGTACTTTCTTACAGGCCCTCAATTTAGGGATTGAAGTGATCAATACAACAGATCATTTGCAGTTCTCTAAAGACTGTAGCAGAGTCTTACTACGAATGCAGTATTGCCCCCACTGCCAAGGAATGCCTTTAAGTAAGCCATGTATGGGGTATTGCCTGAATGTAATTAGAGGCTGCTTGGCTAACATGGCAGAAATTGACCATCACTGGAGGAGATATATTCAGTCATTGGAAGAGTTATCCAGTGCAATGCATGGGACATATGACATTGAGCATGTACTTCTGAACTTTCACTCACTTGTTAATGATGCTCTGGCACAAGCTAGGATCAATGGACCAAAAGTAATTGAACAGGTAAGCACCTATCTATTTTCTATCTTCCATGCTTATTGGAAACACAGCACATGGAAACTAACTTAGAAAACTGATGGATATTTGATGATTGTTATACCAATTAATACGTTTGTGTACAAAAAGGGCATCATACAGCAAAACAGTTGTACAAAATTGTCAGTTTTTTCTTTAGTTATTCACATGACTTGCTATTTTCTCAAATACTATATTCACAACTATAGCAGAGTGAGGAGTCACCATATTTTAGCATTTGCAGATTTTTTTTTCAGGGTGAAAAGCTAGTTTTCCAGTTGTGGAATGAAATTGTAATGTTTACCAGAAACATCTAAACAGTTGAAGTGATAATGAAAAATGTTTCACACCCATGAAACCACAAGCTGATTTTTTAAAATCAGTTGTGTGAAAATTTCTTTACATAAATCAGTAAAAACTCTATTTTACTTCTAGCCTTTTGTCATTTTGTCCAATTAATTGTTATACTTTTCAGTGTAGTCACTGAATGGCCTTTACTGAGAATTCTACAAGTGTTGAATAAACAAGAAAATCCTGAGTTCTGCTGAGTAAGAGTGAGTGCTGGGAAGGGTAATTAAGTTTGGTGTTTTAAAATACTAATAAGCAAAAACTAAATTTCTTGGTGAAAGCTAATTCCAGAGACTTTCTGCTTTTGTAAAAAATGCTAGGGGTTAGGCAAATGAGTGCCAGATTTGATTCATAATATTAAATGAATTGCTGGACTGGTGAGATGTTTATTACTTTATCACATACATTGTAACAGGTTTGGAAATCTCATGGACTTTATGCCATAATTGAAGCCCCTTATTTTCATGAACTAGAAATATAAGATCTCATGTCTAGTATATATCTAACTATAAAGATGACAAGTAATAAACATCCCTTCCCTCTAGATGCCAATGGTTTGTCTTCAACACCTATGGCCGTAGGTAGATTTATTTGAATATTTTTTGTTATCATCAATGGAGTGGGACTTTTCAGGGGAAGAGTAACTTGCATGAGAAGAAGAAAAGGAGTACTTGTGGCACCTTAGAGACTAACCAATTTATTTGAGCATGAGCTTTCGTGGGCTACAGCTCACTTCATCAGATGTGTACCGTGGAAACTGCAGCAGACTTTATATACACACAGAGAATATGAAACAATACCTCCTCCCACCCCACTGTCCTGCTGGTAATAGCTTATCTAAAGTGATCAACAGGTGGGCCATTTCCAGCACAAATCCAGGTTTTCTCACCCTCCACCCCCCACACAAATTCACTCTCCTGCTGGTGCTAGCCCATCCAAAGTGACAACTCTTTACATAATCAAGTCGGGCTATTTCCTGCATAGATCCAGGTTTTCTCACATCCCCCCCACCCCCATACACACACAAACTCACTCTCCTGCTGGTAATAGCTCATCTAAACTGACCACTCTCCAAGTTTAAATCCAAGTTAAACCAGAACATCTGGGGGGGGGTAGGAAAAAACAAGAGGAAACAGGCTACCTTGCATAATGACTTAGCCACTCCCAGTCTCTATTTAAGCCTAAATTAATAGTATCCAATTTGCAAATGAATTCCAATTCAGCAGTTTCTCGCTGGAGTCTGGATTTGAAGTTTTTTTGTTTTAAGATAGCGACCTTCATGTCTGTGATTGCGTGACCAGAGAGATTGAAGTGTTCTCCAACTGGTTTATGAATGTTATAATTCTTGACATCTGATTTGTGTCCATTTATTCTTTTACGTAGAGACTGTCCAGTTTGACCAATGTACATGGCAGAGGGGCATTGCTGGCACATGATGGCATATATCACATTGGTGGATGTGCAGGTGAATGAGCCTCTGATAGTGTGGCTGATGTTATTAGGCCCTGTGATGGTGTCCCCTGAATAGATATGTGGGCACAATTGGCAACGGGCTTTGTTGCAAGGATAAGTTCCTGGGTTAGTGGTTCTGTTGTGTGGTATGTGGTTGTTGGTGAGTATTTGCTTCAGGTTGCGGGGCTGTCTGTAGGCAAGGACTGGCCTGTCTCCCAAGACTTGTGAGAGTGTTAGGTCATCCTTTAGGATAGGTTGTAGATCCTTAATAATGCGTTGGAGGGGTTTTAGTTGGGGGCTGAAGGTGACCGCTAGTGGCGTTCTGTTATTTTCTTTGTTAGGCCTGTCCTGTAGTAGGTAACTTCTGGGAACTCTTCTGGCTCTATCAAGTTCCCAGAAGTTACCTACTATGGGAAGTTGAGGCTATTCGGAGTCCTTGGAAGCACTGACTTACAAACCTGGCCCCACCAGGCACTATAGAAGGAACACAGATAATAAGGCCAGTTGAATTAGTCCCTGAAGTACAACTGGAGGAAATGTTACTTTGAAAGTGGTAGCTAGAACACATGTAGATTTCTGAGATGAGGTCAGTGGGTGCCCACAGTTATGCTAGAGCTATCTTCATGATTCCCATCCGGCTCTCTCTGAACTGACTGGAGTCAGGCTCTTTCATTTTGGAAACAAATGGCTCTCAACAGCTTTGGTCAAAATGAGTCATTGGACATCATCGAGAGGGGGTTCTCCACTGAGCTGTGGGAACAACTTTGTCCCATTTCTAATCTCAAACAGCCCATGGAAGTTATAGGACATAAATGAAATCATCCATCACCTACTTCAGATCTTAGCCATACAATTCTATCTCTAGCCTCAGCGAATTGGGAACAGACAGAGCAGAGCTCTATCTGAATAGATTCCTCAAAGAGGTTTATCTTCACACTCTCATTTTACTATCGCAAAGACAATTCCTCTATTTTTCTTTTGGATGATAGCTCCCCCACTCCTCCCAACTTCTATCATCACCATTACCCAGACACAGCCTCACTTACCTAAATTAATTTGGTCCCTGCCCACCTTTTCCCCTGCTCCCCATGACCATACAAAATATAGGAAGGTGAGAGTGATAGCAATACTGATGCCACTCTGGCTGAATAGTCTCTGGCTCTAACCTACCGTTGAAACTTTCGGTTTGTCTGTCTCTCGGAGTAGGTCTGCAATTGCAAAACGTCAGCTTTCCATCCAGCACCAGACTGGTTGAAAATGGATACTTTGAGGAAGTTATTACCCTTCTCATGGACCTTAAGAAGAAATGAACAAATACACTATGAACTTTGCACCAGCCAGCAGAATAACTACCATATTAAACAAGTTAAACACAGCCTTCAGTTCCTCCATGAGAGCCTTAATGTGTATGCACAAGAATTCAAGCAAAATAATTAAGACTCTGCAATATTATATATAAAATAAAATTAAGTTTTAAATAAATTCCAGCATGAAATGTTTTCTTAGAGCAACAACGTTTACTCTAGCCTGACAAGCTCATAGAACACAACCTTGAAATCTCATTCTTCTCCTTACAATATTACCCAGATTGAACCACTGCAGGAGGTGTCATTATTTTTCCTATCCATTACAGAAGACTTCCTTATAGCTACTGTCTCCTGTCAGATGAATTTTTCATTTTCATTTTACTGATTAAGTCAGACAAGTAGTCCTCAAAATTGCCATAGCATTCACTCCCAAAATAAATTAAAGGTGTACTCTTCATTCTATTAAACATCAAACTCCAGTCCTTAGGAGCAATGACAGTCTCAAGGCAGAGAAGTAATGCACTGAGATCTGCTAGGTGGCCACCTGGTCATCGACATATACATTCACCAACTTCTACATATTGGTTATCCAATCTTTAGCCAGTGCCTTTTTTATTATCAGAAGTCTTTCCCACTGCTAAGTGCCCACAAGAAGGATGATATAGAGTGCATAATATTGTCCGTTGACTTGAGCTGTTAGCCAATAGTTACTGATAAGTTGTTTTCTTAAGGAGAAGAAATTAATTGAATCAGGTATTTATTTGGTGCCATCCTGTTTGTTATACACAAAGTCCTGTTTCTCTGAACACAGTAGGAACAAACAACAGGAGGCAGTTTCCTTGCTCACAATTTCCAAGCCTGCCTTTCCAGTCAGTCCTTTGTGTAAATGAAACTCTTTGTTGACTTCCTTCTGGGGCCACACTCACATTGCTTATCTGGCTTTCTGTTGGCTTTTCTGTTTGCTTTCTATTTCTGACACATACAGACACACACAGCTCCACCAATCAACACCCTAGATTCTTCATTCTCCTTATTCTCTCTGAGTTAGTTCTTGCTCAGGCTTTCCAAGCTGATCCAATGCCTCGGGCAGTGGCTTCTGTTGTATCAGCTATCTTACTCCATAAAGGATCTTAATTTCTTCTTCCATTTAGCCTGAATGAAAATTGATTAGCATGCACATTGGCTTCAGTGCAGTCAGTGGTTGCCAAAGGGATCAAAGACACACTTGTGAGCAGCCACAAATACCCTCCAGCACAACCATAATATTGTGGATGTCCATATTTAGATGTTCTCCTTCCCACTGCTGTGAAAATCCCATTATAATGTATCTGTGTAACTGAGCACAGTGAAGAATAGGATAAGGTATCTGTGCTTAATTGAAAATGTCCTTAGTTCAACTAATAAGCTCCAGAGATCTGGCCCACATTGAAGACAAATATGTAATCAAGAATAGAGATGGAAATGCACATCCAGATATTTGAGTTTCTTTCATTATGGGGAATGAATGCTCAGCACTAGGACATGCTTTTTTTTCCCTCAAGGTATTATTTTAACACAATCTGTAATTTAGGAAAGTACAATTGAATTAATCTCACTGTGGAACTTGTCTCAGTTGGAGAGAACTTCAGCAGGTGGGATGTGCCCCTCTTGCCAGTGACTGATAGAACTGATTTTACCCCCAAACTCCAAGCACTTTGAGGTATGCATTGTAATGAATCTGTGGCACTTGTTACTTGTATAAAGGACATTTTCAGATAATCACAGATGAATTTTCTTATTCAGATGTCAGTTCTGACATAAGTTTCCTAGTACAGTGTGTTGGCATGGTCCCCTTATGGTAAACACAATTACCATCAAATTTTCTTATGTTTTCCTGGTGAC